ACTAAGCAGGTACTCATGCCAGGTACTCCTTTCTCTACCCACATCCATGTTTGAATGCTGTTGCCTGTAATCTTTAAGCTTACTGTTGTGTTTTTTTGATTTTCAAGATAGTGAAAAGGACCTTTTGTGTATTGTGTGAATACTGTAAAATCTGATGTTAACAGAATGGAATTTTCTTTCAACTGTGTGTAGGGATGCAGTGCTGCCCAGAATTAGATATCTTTAAAGAGTTTAAAATGCAATAAACACTACAGGTTACTTTCAATGCAATTCAAGTCTTTAAGAGGTATGTGTTTAATATTTCCTACTGTGTAGGAGAAGTTACAGTCAGCCATAGTACAGAGATGTGGAATGGCTGATAACAGACTTCTAAGGCAAATTAAATACAGAGACAGATGCCACCACGTGATTGTTCATGGCAATAATGTGTGCTGAAAAACTGGTTGCTGGAAGTGAAACAGCTAAACACTAGGAAATGCAGATACTGTATTAAAAGGAAAACTGGAAGTTTTTTCCTCACTCTTTACTTGGCTTTCTTACTCTTACAGAAGGTCTTTAGTTGTATTCCTCAAGTAAGGAACTAACAGTGGAGAGTACAGCTGATAAATGAGCTTCCTGCAACATAATTTGTTACTGTAGCTTCATTATTTATGCTAGGAACTCTTAAACACTTAATGTTGATTATTAAACCATTAATGCTACACTACTGCTTCTAAAGCCAGTCATGTTGACATCTCTGTAGAGTTAAGCTGACAGCTAACAACTGGGCCAATGTATAGGAATGGCAACAAAATGCTCTTAATGCTGTCTAATTGTCTGTTTTCCCAAACTTTTGCATTATAGGACTACTCCATGAAGAGTCTGCGAAGACAGAGGAAGACAGCTTAAACTGAAGATCTGCTTTAAAATGAGGTGAAAGAAAGCTGTAGTGGCGTAGAAAAATATAAAGTTGAGTTAGGTATTTTTTTGGGGTTTTTGTTTTTTTTTTTTATATATAAAAGATTTAATTCAGGACTGGTGTTTCCTCCCAGAGAGTTCAGAAAGATGTGTTGATAAGAGCACATATGCTACTGAGAATATAAGTCCTGTCTCCTTTTTCTTTTCTTTAAGACTTTTTAAGATAAGAAACAAACATAACCTGAACACGTGGCTTGCTCAGTGTTTAATTGCGAGTTTTCATTCTTGGACTTTAAAACACAAGAATAAATGTTTAGTATTTGTGTGAATCGAACTAAAACGGATCCCATTTTTACAACTAAGCTATTCCTAGCTTCTTGATATACGAGAAATGGAAATAAAGTATCTTTGAATTTCTGTTACAAAGCTGATTGTCTCTGTCATTGGACGTTTAATATTAAATAAGTTTCTTTCCTAATAAATCTACTCCTGTCTTCAAGCTTAGTCCATTAATTTGGATGCTTAGTTATTCTGTGCTGTTTGTGGGTTTGGGGTTGTTTTGATGCCATCAGTTAGTATTTGAGTTTCAAGCTTGCTTTTTCAGCAGCTAAATGGCTGTTGGAGTCTGTGTCTCCTAAAACGTGCAGCTCGTGCTGCAGTTGCTTAAGAAACTAGAAATCTCACAATAGAAATGTAGGCCCTGAACCTTTATAAAGCAGACTTTTACATGCCACTGCTGAGACTGGCCATCACACTGCCTTGTAGCATCAGTTTGGAATATTAACTAACTTAACAGTATTACTTAACAATATTAACTAACTTAACTGCATGCAGTTGGTGAGCATGCACAGAGAGATAAAAGGGAGCAGAGCCATGCCTTACACTTTCTGTGAAGCGGCAACACGAGGGAGCATAGTTCTTGTTGGGAAAGGCCTGCACTGTGTACTAGTGAGTCAGCAGAGACAGTGAAGTGTCTGTAAAGCATTGAATTTACATATCTAAAAAGCATTATCCCTCATATTAGTATTCAGGACTTGACTCTGTGTAACTGCAGCCATACATGGACAAAGCACTGTTGGCCACGGGTGGAAGTGCCCTCAGAAAAGGAGCTGAATCTCAGTCCCCCTGGTGCAATGGAGGGCAGGGGTTTTTTGGTTCCTTTTTTGAATTTTGCTGTTGTAAAGCCCAACAGGGGCACAGGGGTTGAGATGGGGTGGCTGGGGGTTTTTGGAGAAACTTCACAAGAAAAATGAATGCAGGTGGGAGCAAGTAAAATTATAACCAAATTCTAATTGCAGGCATTGCATAAACACCTCTTCCTTTTGAAATTTGCATTCAGCTACTGCCTGGATATGTTACTTGTTACAGGGCATTCAGATTTGGCTGTAACAGATTCATTTGTGTGAAAAGTGTCATCTGCACTGCTCAAGCCCAACATAAATAACATCTGGGATTTTCTAGGAGTGCTAAGCAAAACAGAAGTAGGTTAATTCAGTGAGCTCCTACATCCTTTCTCTGTACTGGCTGGTGTCCTGTCCCTTCCCGTGTACCATGTATCGTCCCCACACCCACCATACCCTCACCCCCTGACAAAGGAGGAGACCCAGGTACTTTAAACAACTGATACTTTAGTAGAGGTGAAGAGTAGCAACGTTGGGTCAGTACAAGTTTGTAGTGCAAACAGAAGTTGTCCTTAGAAGAACAATAAGTTTTGTAAACTTAGTTTCAGTTGTTTATTATTCAAAGGAAAAAAACTCAACAAGAAAACACAGTTAACATAACACTAGTGTGCCTTAGAGTTTATCAAACTGCATAAAACATACAAAAATATTTCTCTGAATGCATAGACTTACTGTTATTACAGTCAGATCATGATTAAAGTTTTAGTCTGATCATATTAACAGTTATTCTTGGTGGATGCTAGAGCAAGTAAAGCTTTTAAACCAGCTGCTCCTGTAGCTGAGTTTTCAGTAGTCTTTACACTGATTTCCTAAGTAAAGGAGCTGAAAATTAATTAGATACTCTTAACTTTGAGCCACTACTGTTGGTTTTTAGACAGTTATTGCACATAATCTAAACTAGGTTCCAAGCTGTGCTGAAAAGATAAATAGACAATTGTTAAAATAAAAGCTCCTTTCCTGTGCTACAAGAAGAATAGCAGGAGCCAGATTTAGGAAATTTTACTAAGTACTGTGTCACAGTCTTGAGCTCACCAGGAGTTGAACTGGGCTCTAAAATAGCCTGGCTCCTGGATGGAAGAGGGGCAGGATTGACACTGGGGACTTAGCAGAGTTTAAGTGAGAGGATGTATGTGGAGCAAGTGCAAAAGCATGATAATTACTTTGCACTAAGCAAGAATTATAAGCCTAAGTACGATGGTGCAATGCTGAACCCAGGGTCAGGTGTATGTTGTTCTTGTAAAGCTCTTGCCTACCTTGCTGCAGCAGTGCTGCTCCTACCTAAACAAACACACCGATTGTACTATTGATGGTCTGAATGTCAACACCCCAGTCCAGCTCAACAACAACAAACAGTGCATCAGCTGTGCACAAACTCTACTCTAGTGCAGCTTAAAATAAACAGAGATGGAAGGAAAATCAATACTACGGGGGGAAAAGAAAAGCAGCAGCAGCTCTTACCCAGAAGAAAACCAACTCCCTTCACCCACCTCAGTACCCAGTTAAGGGGCTTGCTGCAAAGGTCATCGTTATAGTTTTTTGGTACAAAAATCCCTAAAAGCCTCCTAAGGTGTAACTTTGCAGACTAGCACATTAACAGGAAAAGCTTCAAGTTAATGCTCCTGCAATGCTGCAACCTAAATACTTTGTTCAGACAGAAGGGGAGTGATTGCAAGGTGTGTTTTAATGCTGACTTTTGCCATTCATAAAACCACAGGTGGATGTTTTCATTGCTGGCTTAAATCTAAGTAAACTTAATGTACTTTAACCAGAATCTGTTTCCCCCTAGCTCCCAAAATGAGTTGGAAGCACCTGGAGGCATTCAGCCCATTCAGTACTCACCCAGCTAAAACTATGGACACTACATAAAAGTGATAGTAGACTCAGCAACATGTAAAGTTACAGGTTAGTTATTTGCTAATGGTTTAGTATGGCTAATCAAGAGTGTGGGATGCTCCTCACAGCTGTGACTGATACCTCAAGAGTATACTGTTGTGCTTCTGCTTCTCACAGGCAGAAACTAACCATGTACCCTGTAACTGGTCTGTGAGGGTGGGCCATAAAGACTTAACAGGACTGGCTTTGGAGTAATGCACAGTCTCCTCACATCATCGGGGAAAATAACTAACTAAAACCATGGACATGGATTTGTGATCCCCTCCCTGGCTCCTCAAACAGAAGGGCTTTCAACAGGACACGTTTTAACTTGCTGTGTGACATGAATAAGCATTTAAGAGAGGCTGCTGTATTTTTTTGTGGAGGGATGCCACTACTTAGGTTACAATAGTCTCATATGGGAAAGAAACATACTCTTTCTCCACTTATTTTCAGCCCAGTGAAATTTTTTTCCTCCTGTCACTTCAAAGCATTAAGTATTTCCAGCCCCAGCAGGCAAGAAAACACACCTTGGCAAGGCTTTGTGAAGGGGCAAGAGGCTTAGTTCTACAACAACTTTTAAGTTTTACATCAATAGAGAGCACCTGTTCACTGTATGCCAAATACCCTCTGATCTTTAACTTAACTTAATCAGGAAGTTTAAAGAAAAAAACATATATACACACAGACACTCAGAGTTTCCTGAATCTTCTCCATGAGTCCTATTTGGTCAAAGAGTGGAGTAAACACACCTTTCACAGCAATAATTAAGTCTTTCCTGCCCTCTGTTGTCAAATACAACCAATAAACTTCACTGAAAGACATTGGAAGCATGTGATTTTAGTAGACAAATGAGGTATCCCTTATCTGAATCCAGTATCAATAAAAAAATAAAAGCAAAGGGGATATTAAATACAAAAGATAAACTATCAGTTAAAATAGTAACCCTAACAATAACTTAAGGTTTTACACACACTTAATTCACTGCCTTCCAAAGGCAGCAGCATCAGAGAATTACCAGGGTTCCACCCTCCAGCTGCACTGGAAGAGTCAGTACGTCAGCTTTGATGCTCTGCTGTTGTAGCATGGCCTCTCCATCAAAGTGGATGCAGCGTTTCGGAAGGGAGAGCCATCACTTTTCACAAGGACTAACTCCAGCTCTTGGAAGTCCTGAAGTCTGGCAACATCCTTATCCTTGTAAAGAGCAGATGGAACGATGCGTTACTCTAAACAGACCTGGTTATTATTTGTGGTAATAGCCCAAAGAAGTAAAAACTAAAATTCCAGGGAGGTCATACCTCCACACACATTGAAATGAATCCCAATGACAGGAATAAATAATAATAGGAAAAAATCCTACCAGTATCTGCTTTTTCAAAGCATATTTGGGTTTTCTTTCTCCTTGAACTACACACTTACTTCTCCTTGAACCTCATTATGATTTGACTGCACTCGTACATGTCACTTAACTAAGAGCTGTGACCAAATGCATTTCATTTACAGACCTCAGGAGGTATTTTGGGAACAGAAGAGCGTGTTCATTTCTTAATGACATCTTTAAATTCTTCACATGCCCATTTGCGGGGATTTTTTCCCTTTACTATTTGTTCCTTTTAGGCAAGCAAATAGTGAAGTAGAACATGGCAATTATGTTAAAAGCACACTAATGCACTGCTTCTGATACATTAAAAAGTCAAGCTGTAAGAGTTTCATGCTGAAATAGGAGCTGACATACTCGACCTCTATTTCAACAAGAATGCTTTTAGGTAAATTATGATGAAGTTCTAAGAAAAAAGTCCAACATCCTTTTGGATTTTTAAGTTTAAGCCAGTTTGGTTTTAACACAAGGCTATGTTTTGCCAATTTTCTTTACAAAAATACCTTCTCTGACGTCTGCAAAGTCGAATGAAGCCAGTTCCAATTCTTACCTTTCTTACGAGTGTATTGGGTAATTTCCTGATCTTCTCGACTTGCTCTGGATTAACACCCAGTTCACAGCAACTCACTCTGAGCAGATCTTGGTAGGTCAGTTCTTGTCTGTCCAGTTCTATTTCAATGAAGTCGTTGTCTCTGAGGTTCTGGACTCTCACCTTAAGCACAAGTTCTGATTGAAAACAAAAAGATTAAAACCAAAAACCAAACAAAATCTAACACTACAGTATCTACCATTATCTTTTGAATTCAGGTTTTATAATGCAATACCTGTTAGCTCACTGAGCACTTAATAGAAGCTTCCATTTGAACAGCAAAAAAATACACAGGGAAACCATGTTCATAATGTTAAAAATCTAATCCATCCACTCACAAAGTCAAGTTGTGACCAGACTGCCAGAGATGGATTTGATGTTGTATCATACGATTCAAAATCTGAATTGATATGTTGCTTGGACTGATCTTTCCATTGGTTTGCAAAGTATTACCATGTTTAAAACACTGTAATATTTTACTTAGCACTGTAGGAGGTACTTTTGGGCAAAGACTTCAACGTCTCTGCCTCTATTCCACGTGAGTCAGAAGGTAGAATGATTCTTTACCTTCATCTCTCACCCAGTAACAAAAGCATGGAACAGAATATAATAGAAGGATGAGAAATTACACTTAATTACCTTGCATGTTATATGGGAAAGTTCCAGTGAAGAAGAAGGGCTGGAATGCTGGCGTGGGACCAGTGGGTGAACTGTTGGTTTGCAGAGGTCTAGCCTGTTCGAGTGCTGCCAGTGCAGGTGATGGGCAGATGGAGCCATTGGGGACCACTGGCCTGGGAACATTGGGTACCAGTGGCTGGGGGGCATTGGGCACCGCTGGCATGGGGATGTTGGGTACCACTGGCCTGGGAATATTGGGCACCACGGGCCGGGAACACTCCGGGGCTGCGGGAGGTGGTGGTGGGGTGGGCAGCTGCTCCACAGTGGCCTGTGCAGGGAAGTCGTCTTCGCTGTTGCATGATGTAGGGGTGCAGATGCTTTCAACCTGAGCTGCTGATGAACAAGGGCTGGTTTCACACGGGGAGGCAGAGGAGATGGAAGCGCTTTCATTCTGGGGTTCTGCCAGGCTGTCTGGAATGCTTTCTTCAGTGTAAACGTAAGGGAATGGAGGGTTGGCCAAGTAGTTCGCAACAACTGGCAAATTGAAATCCTTCATTCCTTGACATTCAGTTTCTTCCTCTACTAAGGAAGTTAAAAAATGGGATTAGGGGATGGAAAGAGAAAAAAACGCACCGTATTATTATCATAGAATAATAGAATCCCACGCTGGTTTGGGTTGGAAGGGACCTTAAAGCTCATTCAATTCCACGGGCAGGGACACCTTCCACTAGAGCAGGTTGCTCCAAGCCCCTGTGTCCAACCTGGCCTTGAACACTGCCAGGGATGGGGCATATTGGATTATCTTTCTCATTTTGAATATAGTTTTCCTATTGTGTCTTAAAACTTCATCACTCCGATGACGACACTAATGTATCATAAGCATGTACACCTGGATGGCAAGTAGCTGTAAGATGAAAGAAAAAGATCTACAGACTCCTACAATATATTGTGTTCTTTAAAAGCAAAGTGGGAAAAAAATAACCACTGAAGGACACATCATCTCCAGCAGCTTTATTCCATTGTTGTCAAAGGAAGTGTATGACCAGTAGTTCTTTGCTAAAATTCATTTTATAATGCTTTTACTAACAGTGCTGTAAATGGTTTGTTATGACTCATGCCAGTGATTTAAACTGTTTCTGCAGGTAAGGGACTAGTTGATGTAATACCCAAGCCAACTCTTCTCTTGCTTTAACGTACTGCAGTAAACACCATTCTTGCCTGACAGGATTACAGGACATTGATACTCATGTCAAGGCAGTTTAGAAAGATCTCAATAGCCCTACACTCCCCAAATAAAACCATTTAGGGGAATATAAGTGATACGTGTTATTCCCTGGGAATCTCATGAAAGCTGGACAGAAAAGCAAAGTAATTACAGAGTTCACACACACTTGACAGTTTAGATGTTCATCTGCCAGGAACTAAGGCCAAGAGATGAGCACCTTGCCCAAAGAACACAAAAAATGCTCATTCAAAGAGCATGCCATTCCCGCAGTGGTGACTGTTGTGACCTCTTGTGATTTAGCTGCTATTTCATTTAAGATAACCGTGAAGTGTCAATCTAAGAGTGTGTCATTGTAGACAGCAATTTAAGTGCAATTAGCAGGAGAGAGAAAGTCAACATTTCCAAAGGTGAAGCACTTTAAAATCCCGATCTGGAGCACAGTACCCAGATGCTGATGGGAATAGGCATCAGCAGCGTTCAGGAGCATCATACATGTGTGTTTGCCACACACAGGGAAGTCTAAGATAACAGAATTACGGGACAAAAATTAACCATACTGCAAGTCACAGCGTAACATGCTCAGAAGCCATAACTTCTGAAATGCTGCAGCTGTTTTGAGTGGATTTGAAGCATTTCTTATGGTCAGAGAACATAAGAACGCAGTGGTGAAAGCCGCCATTTGCAGCCCACATGCTACCTGCTGCTTTAAGTACAGCAAAAAAGACTGCAGCAGCATGTTTCCAAAGTACTCAGCTCTTCAGTCTCCTTCCTACCCGAAATCCCCATGTCTCACTGCCCAGGTATGAATTACAGTTATAAATCAGAGCTGTCCAGTGGGATACAACAGTCCTAGCCAAAGTTTTGCCAGTACTGCCTCAGATAAAAGCACTAGAAACAGTTTAGTCTTCAATCCAAGGATCCCAGATGACCTTTAAGATAGGAACAGTACCTCCCAGTATCTTCCGGATGTCTGGTTTGGCAGTTAGCTGTGCAGCCAGCTCTCCTTTGGCCGTGGGGATCTGTGGATCTGCACCAGCATCCAGCAGGCAGGACACCACTTGCGCATGGTTCCGCTTACAGGCCCAGTGCAAACAGGTCCTGCGGGGAAGGAAGGAGAGGTTGTGCTGTCAGCTTTAGATCTATGGCCCCAGCTCCTAGAATCAGACTGGTTTGGGTTGGAAGGGACCTTGAACCTCATCCAGTTCCAACCCCCCTGCCACGGGCAGGGCACCACAGGCAGGGACCCCTTCCACTAGAGCAGGTTGCTCCAAGCTCCTCCTCACACACCCATCCTAATTCACCTGAATTACATGAAAAGCAACAATAACTGGGAATAAAGTTTCCTTCATGCATCACTCGTTAAAGTTACGAATCTATTTTAACTTCTGCAGGGCAAGGCCCTGTTTGGCCTTGATGCAGCATGAAGAGTGACTCCACCGCTGTCCCGGTGGGCCCTGTTGGTGGACATGGCATCACAGAATCAACCAGCTTGGAAAAGACCTTTAAGGTCAAGTCCAACCGTTCCCCCAGGTCTGCCAAGTCCACCACTAAACGATGTCACTAAAGGACTATAAACAGAAGCAAACAGGGCAATATTAGTTTTAGGGAAGGGAGAAATGAACAGATTCAGCCTCTTGCATAGGAATGTGGGGGAAAAAAGCACTGTGATGCCATTTAACAAACGAGCTTGAGGCCGTTTCCTCTTGTCCCATCCCTTGTTCCTGGGGAGCAGAGACCTCCCTACAACCTCCCTTCAGGTACTTGTGCCATGAGCAACTTCACACGAGGTCCTTGAGCCAGGAAGGATGTGGTGGCCGGTGGCAGGACGCTGCCCTCCTGTCACGCTGATCCTCTTTGCCAGCGAACCTCAAAGCCTCCCGAGATTAGCGTTTCCTTTCC